TGTTGCATTCAAGCGGATTGTGAAAATCTTGAGTGGCCTATAGGAGGCCAACAATAAAAACTAAATGCATGCCTAATTATATATCTCAATCAAATGTATGGTCCAATCCATATATACTCGTGAGCGGAAAAGCAAGATACTATATATATATACGTGTGTATGTATAGAGGTTAAAAAAACAACAAAGTTAGATATTGCAAATATTCAAAATTAACTACTCCTTTCAGTTTTTGCATTTTGCCTACTTACTACTACTCCTTTTTACTACTTTCTTTATATTAATAATAATAATATCTCAAACTAAAAGGTTTTTAATTTTTTAATTGCTGTCTTTGCTAGCTGTAAACTAACACTTGATACATAAATAAATCCATGGTAAATATGCTAATATATATATATATATATTGGAACAAATTAATACGTGTTTAATTATATATATAGATTAGTTATTGCATACATACAGAACTTAATTAAGGCTCATATACATACATCGACCAGACTTTGCTGTTGAGCTCACATTTGGCCTGTCTGCAGGACGATGATGACAGCCTCCACTAAGAATATATAATTAAGAGGATCAACTCTACTGTAATTCTATGCTATAATATTAATTATATGACAGACTTCCTTTTAATTATATGGAATTGGAGAAAGATAACAACGTTACCCATAAATTTATAAGGTGAGATTCGAGCGGCCCATTGACCTGGAATTCCACCCCTTGATAGAGATATGAGTAGGAACAAAATTAAAAAAAAAAAAAAAAATTATAATGAGAAATTACTATTTCAACTGTTGCCAAGCCCATATATAAAAGTATGGATACATTTCCTGTTCCTTTTTCTTTTTCTTTTTTAAACTCAAGTTACTTTATAGAATTAGAAATGTCAATTTAATTAATTATTTATATATACTTGACATCACATTAATTCTAGAACAACTATTATTATTATTATTATTATTTTACTAATAACAAGTGAAAAGGGATCGTGCATTAAGTTTATGGATAGTGGGTGAGTGAGTTTTTGCTCCGTGAATCAAGATGAAAGGCAAAAGGGGCAGAACAAGCATGGAAGTAGGTAAATACTGAAGCAAATGGTGATGTTAATGGACATATCACTTGCAATTTAAAATGGTGATTATCTACCTATCCTAATTAATTAATTAATTAATTAATTAATTTGGATTACTTAAAATTATTAAAAAGGGTACTTGGTATATATAATGCTTAATTAGACCCACCCAACAACACCATCAAATCATGCATTCATTTCTTGTCTCACATAATGACAAGATAACCTCCAATTGCGACCAATAATTATTAAGATTCCAATCACATTTCTTTCCTTTTCGGCTTCACTTGGCTGATTTAGTTAATTTACAACTAAAGGATGGTGGAGCTAGCAACTTGAAATTGGCTGTGTATGTGAATATCGGTCATGTTGCAGGCTTACAGTTTATATATATATTAGTATTTAATTAACATTATCTATCCTCAGAATCCTTTACCTGTGAATGGGATTGAAGTGCATCTATTCTAGTGAAGTCATTTTCTAGCAGGCTAGTAATTAAGTAATATTGTATACTTGAACCAGATACAATAATTTTATAATAATATATGTAAATGGAGAAGCAATTTAAATTATATGCTAATTTTTTATTCATGGAACTTTTTGCACATTCTCTGTGCTATTAATTAATTAATTAATTAATTTGCATGTATAGTAGTATATTTTAAGTAAATTAATAAATAAATTAATCCTGGCTAACACCGCTCGTCATCTTATTCATCACCATAGCGCGATGCCTTTGGTGATAAAAACGGAATGCACTTTGCCTTCCTCAGGTGATCGAGCTGACGTTAAGAGAATGAGCGGCTTAAAAATTGCGTTGTCTATGATCAAATAATCTTTTTCCTTGCCAGTAAAGTGACCTTCAGAGTGACAACCATGCATGAATATTACAGTATTTTACGTCTATTCGGCAGAAAATTACGGCAGGTGCCATTTCCTGTCTTGCCCCACTCAGGCTTACCAGGTTCCAGCTAGCTGGGTCTCAATAAGATCAAAAAAATTCACTACACTAATTTATATGTAATGCATGACCTCATCATTACGTTTCAAAAAGTAATCTATTTTTGAAAGATTAATTATGCACTTTTTCGGAGAATACTTTCATTGTTCGACCAAATTAATACTACTAATCAATTGCCACCCTCAAATTAAGGACAATTAAAGCTTCTTTTTTTCTTTTTTTTGAAGTTTTTCCTAAACCAACCTATGAGTTATAATTATTATAATACAATTAATCAATTAAAATTTAGTATTTATAAGATTCATAAAAAAATTATGATAAATCTTTATATAATTTTTTGTTATAATTAATTAATTGTAAAATTATAATAAAAAAAATTAAGTAAAATACATCTTTCTCTAGCTAGTATTATCACCAACTCTTGGCATCATATTTCTCATGATGATCAAAGTCTCTTCTCCCATCACCGTGTTCCATATTTTTTGGTTGTGGGATGTAAGAATGTTGATAATTTTTTTTTTTAACGGGTATATTCAAATTTTATTTTTAAGAATTTTAAAGATACATTCTCGTACATCAATTATAAAAATATCAAGATCAGTACAACCGGATTTAATTGCTGCATTACATGACACATACATATATGGACAAAAAAGTTGATATGATTAAAACTCCACAGTAGTCTATGTGCCACAGAGCAGAAGGCGTTTGTAAAATGAATAACTTAAAAGATTAAGGAATTAATATATATGTGCAGAAATGATGTTTTCACCTGCTAATGATTTAGTTATGTACGTATGTCCATGTATTCTTAATTCATCCTCATTTTATTTATTAATTAAACAACAGGAGAGCAAGGTATAAATCTCCTAAAGTTTGCGAGGATTGGGAAAGAAGCTTTTAGAGTATATATGTACTACCAAAAAATCTATGCATTTATTTATTTTTGGATGCACGAGTGGCACCGCACCGTCACCGAGCCAGCGAGAGCACTTTATGAATTGCCTATATATATATATATATATATATATATCATATACATGCATGCGTGGAACTGAGCGTTATGGAAAGAAGTGGCATCCATTTTTCATCGCTTTTCTGCATGCCTAGCTACATCCATGCACTACATCTGCGTGAAAGGACATTTGGGCTGTTAAAAGTAAGCGGTCCTTTTTTTTTTAATGCATTAGGGTTCCAAACAATTGAGTCGATGGTTAAGAACGAATTAATCCAAGTGAATCCTACTTCCTAGAGTAGAGCCTCTAAAGAAAATGAAAGAAACTACCCTCTTGCTTGTATAACAAACGATCCAGCGAATCCCTTCTTGAGGTTCTTCACACTTCTTTAAGTACAAGTTGATTGTTTTGCATTTTGTGATCGATGTATTGATTTATTATATGCCCCAACTCTGATAATCAATATTTCACCAAAAATTGGCGACACTGCAAAATTCCTTTTGGCACTTTAATTCTTGCGACAATAATTTTGGACTACATATATATATATATACATACATACATATATATATATATATATATATCTAGCATCCACCAATCCATGACAACTTTTTCGTTGTCAAAATTTTTTGCATTCTAATACTTTGTCTTCTTGGTTTGTTTTCAATTATATGGGGCGTGACATGTGATTGCAGTTGCTGAGGATATATAAGTGGAGCCATTGGCCTAAGCCATCAGCATTCAGCATTAAAATATATATATATATATCTATATATATATAGAAAGAAAGAATTGGTCTAGTTCTAGTAGCAGTAATAGCTCTCCTTTAGAATTAGTGGAGGGAGGAGGACCAAAAGTCCCCAAAGTTTGGACCATACTTTCTTGGACGGCCCACAAACGGTGACAAGTTTATATGAAAAATGGGCCTGGCTGCTTGGATTTGTTGAACTAGAGCCTGCTCAGGCAAAGGTTATTGTTTCTGCTTTATGGGCCAAGCCTGATGGTGGCCGTCTTAAGTCTTAACCCGACGAAAACCAATAGAAAAGAGGGAAAGGACTAAGATCCCGTCTAGGTTGGAATTCCCCAACCACACTGGCCATCCATACATAATTGCCAAGAGCGCATCCTTCTTGGTTCTTACAAAAAATATTGCAATTTTTAACCAAGGTTGTCACATGTCAGCCATGCAATTTATCAAGTGACAGGCTCTTGTTTTTATTTTTATATATATATATATATATATTTTTAATTAGTTGAGCCTAACTGTGTTTTCTTAATTTTTTTAAAGATGTGAAGCTCATAACTTTTTAAAATTTTTTTCAGTATGAGGCTCATATTTAGGCTTTCATTCTTTTATTAAAAAAAGAGTTCGATTGAAGTATTCATATTGCAATTTTATTTTTTTAATTTTAAATTGAATAAATTTTATAATAAATAATTTCGATTAATAAAGATATTAAACAATGTATATTATATAGATTTGATTTTCCCAATCAGACAAGGGATGAACTTTTTTCTTTTTTATTTTAAAATTATGTGAATTTACAATAAAAAAATCAATTAAGTAGATATTATAAAAAAAAAATCCGCGCGTTAATGCAGATAATTTTTACATAGCCGTTTGGAAAATATATATAAATAAATACTAGATAGAATGATATTGGGTAGAATTGTCTACCCACATAGCCATATGAACATCCCAACGGTCCGAGTGGCCATTGGATGGAGCTTCATCTCGCATTCTCGCTCGTAATGTTGTGCCCGACGGTATCCTCAGGTTGTCCAATTTATAATGCAGTGGATATGTAAGTTACTATCCGAATTATTATTATTATTATATATTTAAAATATTCATGGCTTAATTTGTGTATAAATAAAACTTATTATTGCTTATTTCACTTCACCTACTCCTATATATAATATATAACCACAATGTAATTAAAATTTTTTTAAATCAAACAAATGAATCCAGCCCAGGCACAAAGAGACGACGGCAACGACCAAACCAAAATTATAAAAAAATCTCCTTAATCTGCCGCCGCAAAATCATTTTCCTTAACACACAAAAAACAAAGAAAAAAATAAAAGTGCCACCCATTCCACTCCCTTTACTATTTATTGTTTATGTTTAAAGATTCTTCACTTCATCAACTCCTAACTCAGTTCTGCAGATGGCGTCCCTCGCGTGCGTCTCCAACCTTTCCCTGCCCCTCCGTGCTGCCAAGACATCACCCTCTCTTCATCTCTCCTCAAACTTGATTGCTAAATTCACCCACAAATTAGTGACTACTGCTTCTTCTTCTTGTTCCTCATCTTCAAAAACGGTGGGAGTTGCAGTTACGCGCGCCACTGCACAGGTGGCGGACGCTGTACTGGTGGACCAAGAGGAGAAGAGTCGGGTGTTGAGAGTTGGTGTGATATGTGGAGGCCCATCGGCGGAGCGTGGGATTTCCTTGAACTCTGCTCGCTCAGTACTTGATCACATGCAGGTCAACTCTCACTTCAATCCAGTACACTAGATTTTACATACATGACCCATACGTAACCTATGTATATGGTCTATCTACATTCATGCTAATACTGACAGTTGGCAGTTGTGGTTTGTTGTTTTCTAGGGAGAGGATTTGCATGTGAGCTGCTATTATATTGACTCTCATCTCAATGCCTATGCAATATCCTCTGCTCAGGTTTCTACTTTCCAATATTAATGATGACAATAATAATGGATGTCATGTCCTGTGATAATAATGGGTTCATTTTATTATCCATGTTTCACTTATTTCTTAAACAGTTTCTCCTTGTAAAAAATTGGTCAATACTCACTACTCTTCTCACTTTCTTCAGGTATATTCCAATACTCCTTCAGACTTTGATTTTAAGCTCGAAAGGTCAGCAATTTCACCTCTGCTTTCCTTGTACATCAATTTGCAGCCTTACCCTAAAAGATGATTGAAATTGTCTGTCTTTTGCAGTCTTGCCCAAGGTTTCCAGTCTTTGTCTGAATTTGCTGAGCATCTAGCTGCCTCAGTGGACATAGTTTTCCCTGTTATACATGGTCGTTTTGGTGAAGATGGTGGCATTCAGGTGCATTACTGTAATCCTTCATTATGAATGGCACACATGCACAACTCAAAAATGCAGACAAACATTTGTATCACTTTTTGGAATTTTTATGTCGCACACAGCATTAGATAATACAGTATATTTCTTTTTTTTTTTTTTTCATGTGATGCACTATTCAGGAGCTATTGGAAAAAAATAATGTTCCATTTGTTGGCACAGGATCCAAGGAGTGTCGTCAAGCATTTGACAAGGTTCAGAAACTTAACTACCTCATATCATCATGACTAATCTGTTTGTACTTCTTATATAAATCTAACTACCTAATGTTTCATGATTCATTTTCTTGAACTGGAGCCTAGAATATAGCCAGGCACTCTTGTGTATAGTAATCTTTTATATACACTTGCTATATTCACAAATACTTGTAACATAAGCATTTATTGTTTGAGTTCAGAATCCTTTTCTCAACTTTTGTGTACATTTGATCATCTTCAATTTTGATAACCTGATCAGTCCCAGACAAGCTAAATTGTAATACTGCATCCCTAAATTATATTACCAAAGCTACATGTGGTAGAAAGAACATGCAAACTCGCTTTATGATTTTTAATGTATCCTGTGTTTGTATATTATAAATTAGGTTGTAACAGAGCTTATCAATAACAATTCATAGTTAACCTAATTATAAGTATGCCACTACTCATTTGGTTCTGAATGGAGACTTGAATGCATTGCATTCTGAAGAATGCTTACTGATTAGTGTAAGTTGGCTGCTGGGATGAAAATACAATGCTAACTCTATGTTGCTTTAATTTATTGCAGTATGATGCCTCTCTGGGCCTTAGCAAGCATGGGTTTGTAACAGTACCTAGTTTCTTACTGCAGGTATTTTCTTAAGTTTTCTTAATTAGTTTCTTCTTCTTTGGAACAATTATCTATCGTATGTCTCTATTCAGTCTTTCATGTGTATAATCTCTACAGAGCGCACAACATATGCGCACATGTGGACATACTCAAATGTTTCTCCCTTATTGTTGATTGGGTGATAGAGGCCATATAGGCTTATATTTTGATTCCTGCTGTAGTGATTTCATGTTATTTTGACTTCGATCTTATTTTTCCTATAGATGATTTTGGGAGTTTGTTTAAGCACTGAAGTGATTTATCTTGTTGGCTTTTACTTTATCATAATTCTCCAGGATACTGCCTTGAACCCTTGATGTTAAACCTCTATATCTGCCATCTTTTTCTTAGGCAGCAATTTTTGGTCTAGATACACTCTGTATTATAGTGTTGGAAATTCTTAGACAAAATCAAAGAATCTAAGAAACCCGGTTAATTTTGCAACATGTAATATGCTGCTGTAATGTTATTCATGATGTCTATATTCAAAAGCAGTCTGCTTGTGTAGTTTAAGACTAAATGCAAACCTTGCTCTTGAAGATCTAGTAGCAGAACTTGAATAAGTATTTTGGAGTTAGATGTATCTGATTACATTTGTGCTGTTAAAAAACGATGGCATTTTAGGGAAGTGAAGTGAATGAATCTGAATTATCAGAATGGTTTGCACGCAACCAGTTGGACTTAAACTCAGGGAAAGTTGTGGTACGTCATCTTCCTGCTCTTGAGAAAGAGTTTGGTACATAGTCATAGTGAGGTAATTTGACAGACATTTATGTCTTGAAATTTCATGACATCATAATTTTTTTTCTAGGTCAAACCAACAAGAGCAGGGTCAAGCATTGGTGTCACAGTTGCATATGGAGTTACTGATTCACTTAAAAAGGCCAAAGAAATTATTTCTCAGGTATATTAGGTTTCCACACACTAACGTTAATCCACTTTTATTATGTCAAATATCCAGTCAATGCATGAGGATGCTCAAGTGAGTTTGATTTAATTTAGGTTAATTCGTATTATCATTGGAAAATTCTTCTAATATGCAAAAGTGTTTTATGTAGTATATTATTTTCTATTGTAATATCTTCTAGTAATGAACAATTTAAAATAATTTTTTTGATTCTTTTGGAAGAATAAAGTAAATGGCTGGAAATTAAATATCACATTTCTGTTGAATTGTCCTGAAGATTCTGCAAACAGGATTAGTTTTGGACTGAGCTGCAGAAAAAACTGGCTACAAATCCAGACTAAGTAATGGTTTTTTGAAGCTGTCATTGGTGTTAACTAATGAATTATGTGTTTTATTTATTTATTTTTGTAGGGAATTGATGATAGAGTCCTTGTTGAATTATTTCTTGAAGGAGGGAGTGAATTTACAGCCATTGTTCTTGATGTGGGTCATGGTTTTGATTGCCAACCTGTTGTGCTACTGCCAACTGAGGTAACTCTGACTAGATACTGTTGTTTATTATGTAAACATCCCATAAAATGGGCGTATACCGTACATATAAACCTCTTATAAAAGCTAATTCAAATGATCTAATCTCATGACAGCAAAACCAGATAAACCAGATAATTTTTCCCTTAAAAATCTAATCTTAATCTGAAATTGAATTCAAATTGCAGCTAATAAACTTCATCTACTTATCTGGTTTTGCTGTTATTATCCTGATCATATGAATTAGCCTTGATTCCTCTATCAGCAATTTTTGGTCTTTTTATCCACTTTTTAGGATAATTTTTCCCTTAAAAATTGATATCAGTAATTTTAGCACTTTAGAAGCTAATTTTGAATGTTATTTGTTTTTAATGTTTAACTTTTCGTAGGAGCTAAAATTTGATTAATGCATGGTGAAATTAATGATGGAATTTTAAAGGAGGTTAAAAGTCAAAATATTCAGGAATTCCTTTAACATAACTTTTCATTTTCATGGATTAGTTTTTGGTCATAATGAAATATCTTATAAGTTATGTTATTTTTTAGATGAATGATAATTATTACCTCAGCATAATGGATAATTCGGTATTAACACAATGGAATCTGTGGCCCAGGTGGAGCTTCAATTTCATGGCAGTGGTGATGTAAGGGAGAAAGATGCAATTTTCAATTACCGAAGGAAGTATCTTCCCACACAACAGGTCTCTCAAGGATGCATCCCTGCATTTTCTATCTAGATACACATGTTATTGCTTATCACGCACTTGCAACACTCAGAATGGGTGTATAACCCTTATCATTTTGAGTTGTCCCTTTGATGTTTGAATACTACATTGTCTTCCTAATTAGGAAATATTTCTGTAATTGTAGGTTGCATATCACACTCCTCCCCGTTTTCCTATTGATATAGTCAAAAGTATTAGAGAAGGCGCATCTTTGATATTTCAAAGGCTTGGTCTGCGTGATTTTGCTCGAATTGATGGATGGTTTTTGCCTTCTTCCACAAAAGCATTATCTTCTTCTAAAGATAAATTTGGAATGACAGAATTGGGTACAATTCTATTTACTGACATCAACTTGGTAAGATGAATCTTTAATTCTTTTCCCTTGTAGTTGCTGGCTTTGACGTCCGTTGTTACATCTCATACTGATTTTTATTGTTATCTGTCAGATTAGTGGCATGGAACAGACAAGCTTTTTGTTTCAGCAAGCTTCAAAGGTACTTCTGAGTAGATATAGTAGTTTTGCTGCTGTTTTGTGTGAGCATTCTGTGTAGCTTCTAACTGGTATGGAAAAGACCTATCATTTGTCCTGCAATGGACTGTAAAAATAGCCTCAGTTAAATGCACAGTGCAGTTAGAATTAACTTTGTAGGTATTTTATCGCAATTTTTGTTGTATAGAGAGCTAAAAACCACATAATGTTGAATGTTTATGGCTGCTTTGTATGATTATGAAATGATTTATGTTATTTGAAGTATTGAATGTTCAAAATAAAAAACATTTTGTCCTTTCTTTATGGTTCTCTGGATCTGACTGCTTTTCAAACCAAAATGCATGAGTAGAGTAGAGGTAGGATATTTTTTTGATTTGCTGTTGGATGTTTCTTGTGTTTTTCTGATGCAAATTTTTAAAAGATTTTTTATTAAGATTGTCATTGTTTGATTCGTTCAAGTTTTGTCCAGGTTGGGTTTTCGCATTCAAACATTCTAAGAAGCATTATCCATCGAGCTTGCTTGAGGTTTCCTGAGCTCGCCACATATAATGGTGAATCAGGTCAGCTGCATAGAAATTCAAAATCCTCAAAACCTAATGAAACATCAAAAGGGTGTGAAGGCTTTCATAAAGTATTTGTCATTTTTGGAGGAGGCACTTCAGAGCGGCAAGTATCCCTTATGAGTGGAACTAATGTTTGGCTCAATTTGCAAGCATTTGACGATGTAAGCTATTTTGTTTTTACATTTTCTGATACATATCTTTTAGATCAGTAAGAGAATTGTTCACAACTTCACATCATCATGGGCTGTGCGCTAACTGGACTTTGTTACTGGCGATTTAAGAAGATTGAAATCTAACACAATAAATGAGCAATAGTAGATAGAGCTTATAATAACTCTAAAGTAAATTGCTCTGTTGCCTTTCATTTGATGTTTCCAGGTTACATGTACAAAGAAGCATTTCATCCTACTTTTTCCTATTAACTGTTTATCATTGATGTCTCTATTTTCGGGCATTGACTCATAACTCATAACTAAAACTAACCTGCTTTTCATACTATATAAGTTTGGTACCTAGAAGTCTGCAGAAATTGACTCCTTTTGCCACCAGATTTCTGGAAAAAGAATCTAACAAAACTGTTTCTAGGGTTTTGGAGAGAGGGTGAAGAAGTGATTTTGCAGTTCTGCAATAGATAATAAATTTTTCCCCAAAAACTTTATATGTTGTTTATCCACATAAAGCCCATAAAAAGTTAACTTCTTCTTTGATTTCTCTTATCTCTGTGGAATTATTCTTCTGCTTTTTGGGCTTCACAGATCCAGTTCATAGATTCTATTGGGTGATTTACTGTATTTCTATTCTGTGGGCGTGCATCATTGAATTGTACAATTTGTACTAATTTATAAGAAAAGAGACTTGCCCTTTTACTTTTAAATTATAGCATGATACATCTGAGATACATGATGCTGAGTGCACAGTTGATGTAAGTCCCTGTTTGCTTGCATCGCTCAAATGATCAATTCATCTACTATAGATTCAGATATAAAGGAGTCTGATGTGAAAGCTCCAGAGAAGTATGTCATTTACCGTAAGTATAGCTTTATATAATCTGGCCGCATCTTTTTGTTCTGTTTAAATGCGACTAGTTGCTAAGGAAATGTCATCCTTTTTATGGTCATAGATATTCCCCTTCTATGGGTCTTTCCATTTTCCCTTTGTAATTTATCTTGTGGTCTTTTATGGAAGCCCTAATGGTTAGGAAATTACTGATAGATGCGTTCAATTGGTGGTTTTGCCCCTTCTATGATATTGTCAATCTAATGTGACAAATGAATTATGTGCCTTTTTTCTTTACATTCAGTTACTCTCTTGTGTTGAGACACACAACAGAGGAAGTCCCTTGATGCATGCATGGAGGCAATTGAACCTGCTCGAGCTGCCTTGACGTCTCACTTAGAAACCAAGTGATGAATGAACTCATGGAAGGTTTGAAGAAACATGGTTGGTTTGCAGGATTTGATATAGCTGATGAATTACCTGTGAGATATTCACTGATGGAGTGGATCAAGTTTGCCAAAGAAGTTGAAGCAACAGTTTTCATCGCAGGTTCTGTTTCATGGCTATGTAATTGGTAGTGGTGAATGACTCACATATTCCATTTCTTGTTGAAATATGATAGCCTAATAATTGTGGATGTGGGGAAATTCTTAAATTACACTGACATATATTATCTTTTTCTGAAATTGAAGATAGCTGAGATGGATTTCACATATCCTTTTTCATATTTAATCAAAATCCTCATTTCTAAACAGGCCCGGAAAGTTGTTAAAAGTTTTTGCTGAGTTGCTAGATTACAGTTTCATATCTTGAAATCATAGGTCCAATAGTTGCTTTGCATTCTTTTTGCTATGTGCTGCCTTTCACTTTCTCTTGATTGCATATACCATTGTGTGACTGTTGCATCGTTAACAACATTTCTCTGTAGATCCATTTCAGTTGTTTTCAATCAATCAGCAAGTTGATGTTAATTGCAGTGCATGGAGGCATAGGTGAAGATGGCACACTTCAGTCTTTGCTGGAGGCTGAAGGAATTCCTTATACAGGTTCATCTTCATTGCTTCTTATGTATCAAGATTGCCACTTTCTTGAATGGTTAATCAATTTTCCTTCATTGTGGCTCTCTTTTCACGCGAAGGCCCTGGTGTAATGGCTTCAAAGATTTGCATGGATAAAGTTGCAACATCCCTGGCTCTTAATCATGTATGTTAGCAAATATAAGAATGATACTCTAAAAGTCAAATAGAGTTTCTTTGACCACCTTTCTCTCCTCATTATAGCTTTGTGTAGATTTTTATTTGCTAACCATTATAGTTTGCGGAAATCAACAGCTGGGAGACATGGGAGTTCTTACCATAAACAAAGATGTAAAGAGAAAAGAGGATTTATTCAAGATGCCCATTCTTCAGACTTGGCATGACTTGACCTCAAAGTTTCAGTGTGAAACATTATGTATTAAACCAGCGAGGGATGGATGCTCCACTGGAGTCGCAAGATTGTGGTAGGTTTATCTTCCTTGTTCGATGCTGAGTACTGACTTACCTTTTCCATTTGACTATGATATGTTCATAATTTTGATATCTGCTAGAGCTATGTCATTCAATACAATATTATCTGGTTTTATTCACTATTATGATTCTAATAATCTCCTACATGCAGTTGTGCAGAGGACCTTGCAGTGTACGCAAAAGCCTTGGATGATTGCCTTCTGCGGATTCCTCCTAATAGTTTTTCAAAGGTATAAAAAGCATGGCTACATTTCATGGTGCTTTCAGATCAGTAGATTTTGGTATTAATCTTGAAGTAACCAGAAACTGAACAGAAATATGGAAAAAGGTTATTTGGCAAGGAAATCACTGGGATATGTTGAAATATCTCTTCAAGAAGTCTAATGTTTGCTCAAAATTATTGGTGGAACTGGTCCTTTATTCTCTAAAAATATATTATAACTTTCTTAATCGGTTAGCATATGCAACAAGTGATAACTTTTGGTGCAAGGTGTTAAATCTAGTAAAACGTTTTCCACTAGCAGATTGCATGTTGATAATAACATGTATGAGTTTTCATTATAAACACTTAACGTCTTTTTGAACAATGCCTAGGCACATGGAATGATTGAGATGCCAAACCCTCCTCCAGAGCTCTTGATCTTTGAGCCTTTTGTGGAAACAGATGAGATTATTGTTTCATCCAAAACTGTGACGGAAAATTCACAATGTCTTCTATGGAAAGGACAGAGTCGATGGGTAGAAATAACAGTTGGTGTTATTGGAAAACGGGGATTGATGCACTCATTGAATCCTAGCATTACTGTCAAAGAAACTGGTGATATTCTGTCACTTGAGGAGAAATTTCAAGGTATGTCTTCTTTCACTATTATTCTCCTTAATGTAGATTGTCTTCGAATTTCTCCACTAAATTTCAGTGTATGCCCCTTTTGTTTTAATTTAAGCTGCTTCTTGTAGGTCATTATGAAGGATATGATGGCAACATTAGAAATGCTAATTAATGTTTTTGAACTAATTCTTGAATCATCTAATTAACAAGTAAATGAATTATGGGATTTGAATTAACCGAGGGAAGGATACGAGAGTGCTGCTTTTTTTATCCCCCCCCCCCCCTTTTTCTCTTCTTTTGCACCTGCATATAAGCTTTTGTACTGCTTATTTAACAAAGGATGTTTCTTTATCATGTAATTTTAACAGATTCAGGGAAATAAATGTGTATATGTATAGAGCGCATTACCTGCAATAATGATAAAGTTTTTGCTTAACAGGTGGAACTGGCATCAATCTGACACCTCCCCCGGTGTCAATTATTAGGTTTGTCAAGAACCCTTACTTTATGGAAAATTGTCCCATGCTTCTATAACCGTTGTATGCATTGTTTGCAACAGTTTTCCTTCACACTGCTATTATAATGCCCCCAATAGATTGGCAAAGTCATACATCTATGATTCCAGGATTTCCTCTTAGTATTTTGAAAGCTGGTAGGCATTTATGAGGTTCTGTGCTTGGTATCTTTAGGTGTTTTGCAGACAGTACAATATGATATCTATGTCACTTCAGTATTGATGTATCAGTTCCCACTTAGAGTAATGCTTAAGTTTTCATACCTTTGCAAATTGTTCTTTTTTTCTTGGATTGATCTTTCCAATGAATTAGTTGCCCTTCTTTAATCAGTAATGAAGTTTTGGAGCAATGTAAACAGCGTATTGAACTAATTGCCAACACTCTGAAACTGGAAGGATTTTCAAGAATTGATGCATTTGTTAATGTTGACAGTGGAGAGGTATGTTGGTTCTATGATGTTATAAAATGTGCCTAATTAGGTTTAAATTAATTTCAAGCTCGTAATTTTACTTATAATTTGAATCTCGTAATTTTACTTATAATTTAAATCATGTGGTGGGTGTCTTCCTTTACTCTGAGTTATGCTTGGTGATACAAACTCTCATCTTTACTCTGAATCCGTATGCATGATTGCCATGCGGGTCTCTTTGAAGCCCTTTTCTGTTTTGATGTCTTAATGATTTTCAGAGTAAGACTGGCTGCCCGATTAAGTGGTATAAATGTGCTGATTGATCTAGAATTCTTCACTATTAAATTGAAGAATCTTCCTGGTTATGAAATTTGCAGGTCTTAGTCATAGAGGTTAATACTGTGCCGGGAATGACTCCTTCCACTGTCTTGATTCATCAGGTAAAACCATCCCGTATCCACAAAATGTAGCATTCATTTATGTGCGACAGGTTCTTTTAACTACATCAAGAGATGCGTGTGACTTTGGCTCCTTTTTGTTGTTCATCCTCGTGAGTTGGAATAAGAGAATTGGTAGATATAGCTTCAAAGAAAACTAATTTCTGAAATTTCATGTTTTGCTGCACTGATTCCAGGCCCTGGCCGAGCAGCCTCTCATGTACCCTCACCAGTTCTTCCGTACACTACTTGATTTGGCGTCAGAGAGAGTGCTGTAAAAGTTGTTTTAACTACGTTGGTTGGTCTTCCTTTTATTGTATTCACTAATCTTGCATTGACAATTGAAGAATGAGAGAGAAATGGAAATGGGAAAAATTGAATCCCAAGTGGTCAAGTTATTATGTGGCAACAAGTATACGACGCTCAAGACTCAAAAGCATTTGGATAAATTACAAAATTTGGGTTTGTGTTTTTTCTTTCTTTCCTTCCTTTTTCTTATTCTCTTGTTATATCATAAAGCCTTAATATAATCATTGCTTGCCTATGTTTTAGTAAAAAATGATCAAGGCAAGTGCATGCCTTGAAGAATTTGTACGTGTAAACCCATCCATGGACCCAAACTCCATTGAATTGAATTTGATTACGCTTTTGGGAATATTTGGACGCTAACCACTTTAACAGAGCTTTATCGGGATTGGGAGGCTTTACATTACATATTTACATTAGGCAATAGCCCAAAAAAAAGAGGGGGGGGGGGGGGGTTGCGCTTAGACGAGGATTGCTGTTTTGTAACGTGCAGGCAGGAACTCAGGAGGATATTTGTAAAAAGCTGGAATCAGGCTTCTTCTGCTAGGCGCATTATTATGCCCAGAAACAGTGTCCTGACCAAAGGAACGTGGCCATACTTATGCATATCGCATATAATAGTCCTCTGTGTCCCTAATGAGAATTAGGGCCTTGCTTCAAGATTTCCGTAAGAGCCGTACGTTGTGCTTACTCTATGCAATGTAATTAACTAACAAATGATCTGGGAATATTGTAGACTTTTAAAATGGAATTGATGACAGTTTAATGAATGCTTTAATTATATATCTTTTTTATTGGAAAAGTGTGGGCATACATGAAACGAGCAGATTTAAATTCTTTTTCAAATATTCCATCTTTTAATTTTCATATTTCATTTCAAAGATGTTTGTGCTGATCAATTTGAGATCACATATGATGATCGACTCGGGCCAAATGAACACGAAATTTCTATACTACTTCACAAGGTGCTATGTCAACCTTATGTGACTTACTAGCTTCCATTTTTGGATAATTAAACCATAACTTCTGGTTTTTTGCATTAATCTGAGTAGTAGATCACCAGATTTTAAGGATAGTTTCTGCATAATTTCTATTTGAGAACGACTGGTTATACGTAGTTTACAACATCAGCCATTCATCTAAAGATGTATTTTGATCACTTGCGCCTACAAAATTACTTGGCTCCCCAACTTTGGAACTAATTTCCTTGTGCTCCAAACAAGTCGGGAATTTTCCTTGACAATATTGTCTACAAAAGGATGTTTGTTTCCATCTAATGCCCCGAGAAAACCTAACCACCAAGTGTAAGAAGAAGACTGCTGGTTTTCCCCCCACTCGATAAATTCCATTGCTTCCAAGCCAGGGGTGCAGCAACAGGCACTGAAGGTGCGGTAGTTGACCATACGGGTTCAGGAAGAGGCACAGGCATAGGCTCCACCAAATAGTAGCAACAATGTGAGGTAGCAAGTGTAGGCCTTTTATTACCAGTATTAGTGGTATAGTTGTAGGGATTACCTAACATCCAAGGCTCCCAGCTGATCTCTTGAGCCACATAATATGGTGGCTTTGTGGATGTAGACGACGACGAAGAGGAGGACCTATGGACGTGCAAGGCATGGGCAATTTCCCTCCTAGCTTCAGCCATGTTGATGACTGAGCCTTGAGCAATCTTTCTCGTATAAGACCTTCTTCGAATGGGCTTCCTCAAAGAATTGCCACCGATTCCAATTTCTCCATACCTACCACTACTTTCAATTGCAATTGGTTTGAACTCTGCGAAGAGAAAGATAGTTTCTTCTTTCTCTGCTGGCTTAATTGAATCAGTACAACTTGCAGAGTACTACTTTTAAGTGGCAAAGTGGAGTCAATTAAAGAGGAAAAAGATGAGTCAGAAGCAATAGCATGCATATAAACTGACACGTCTTGGTAGCTGTGGACACATCAAATCTCCTTTACTCTATATTCATTTAATAAAATTAACTCTCCCTCTCTACTCTAGAAGTCTAAGCCTCCCTGCTCTGCTACTTTTGCTGCTCTCAGTGATTAAAAGCCGATGCAACAGCCGACAGGTTCAGGGTCGACAGTAGACAGGCAGTGAGCTGTGAGCCAGAGCCAGAGCCAGACTTTTTCAAAAAAGTCTCATAAACATGCTAAACAAAAGACTTTTACCCAGCTGTTGCAATTAAAATGTTCTCTTTTTCTGTATTTAAATATAACTTCTAGTGGGCTAATGACTATGTCTAAACTTTAGGCTTAACGATCATCGGCTTTTGCAGTGTTATGAGTTTCTTGATTTGGATAAACATAAACACAACCAAGTAACAAAGTTTGGATGTTCTGTTCACGTATGGTCCGGCCACATCCCTAGTGATAGCATCTGTTGGGCTTCTACCTGGCCCAGTTTTGCCAATTTCCGCTTTGGATCTTGCCATCAATTGTTTAGTTGCTTTTATTAATTTGGTAATCTTATTGCGATTTCATATCAAGGACAAGGAAGCAATGTTTCAATCAATAAATAATTATATTAATTAGAGTTGGATGTGAAGATGCTGAACATGCATGCATGCATGCATGTATATCTATATCTATATCTATAACTATCGATCGTTTGTCAGTATTCAATTTGATGGAATGAAGAGAACAAAAAGTTGCCTTGATTGCATACATAGTGAATAGACAAAACTCTACAGCAAAGCAAGCATCTTCCCACACCGCGATCCACCAAACTATGAATCTGATCCATGGGATTGGGGATTGAAATTGTCATTTAAATTTTTTTTAAAAATTGGTATACATGTACAGTTAATCTATTAAGACCTAAAAACAAATATCAGAGTTGAATTTTAATACCGCATTTGCAAGTATATGATCCAGATTCCTTGCGTTGTATTCACTTCCACATTATTGGTGGCCAGTTTTCTGACTGATTATATGCCATTGTTCTGGGTTTCCAACATGAACGCAAAAGACAGGAGCCTTCTCCTTTGCATGGCTTTTGAATGTAATGATGAGGTTCAAATGAAGACTAGAGGAGCTCTCAAGCTCTTAAACTAATACTACATATATGCTGCAATAAGCGAAGAGCTATTATATGTCTGATCACATATGATTAGTGTTTATGGACCACTATTGGCATTGGTGACAACAAATTGTCAAGAATATATTTTTAAATTAATTAGCTAGAAAAATTATGTAAAAGAATGAAAACAATAGTAATCAACCAGCTGGCCTAATTAATGATATACTTTATTATATCAATGGATCTTTAACGCTAACTTCTGCATTGAAGAGAAGTTTGAAGATTTGCCTAGTACTGCATCCTTGGGTCAGGAGACAATATATACATGATCATATATATATATATATATATATATGCTTTATTAGGACTGTTTGTTTCCAATCATATTCTTATTAAGTGGTACTCATTGGCTATATTAATTAATATTATTCCCTTGGATGAAAGAGAAAGGAAGAAGAAGAAGAAGAAGAAGAAGAAGAGGAAGAAAAATGAGCATATCCTTCACCCATCGATCTCTCAGTATATATAATATAGTTTTACAACTTACTGTTACGTATCTCCGAATAAAGGATTTGGCGTAATTAAATGTTATGAAACATACCTAACTACCTGGCATCAACCAAGATTAGAACGTCAAATTTTAAATTTTAAAATGGATTTTTCATTCAAGGAAAGGGATTTATATAACTCATGCTAGCTAGCTAGGTTGGGTTAGGTAATGTTTGAAGTTTGACTCACCTTTCTGTGGCAGCTTCAAAACCTAGATTCTCTACACACACTGCTCCATGCCATGCCAGCTCCCGTAAATTATAAGATATTTTCTTAACTTGACTATCAAAAAAGATGTATAGAAATTGAAAGCGGTAGCTAGGGAAACTGATTGTTTCATAAAATCTTTTTGACGGTGTCATATTTGTGGGATGATTAAATCTCACTTTCATTAGAATGAAAAGGGGCATGTAAAAAATTAAGGATCGAGAAAGAGTGGATTTATTAATGATAATTATTTTTTTGAAAAAAAGAATAAAATTGCTTTTTAATTTGTATGTATAAAAAGTTGATTATTGAACTCCAAGTAATCAAAACTCTCTGTTTCATCTCATAAACTTACTTCTTGTTCTCCTTTTCTTATGTCTGAAACTTAATTGTAAAAAGAGTTCTAAATTATTAGTTTCAGCCGTATTCTCTACTAGTCTAATATTTAAGAATGCAAGCGACATATATATATATAGATATAAAGTGGATTCAATACAAGTTTGGCCAAAAAGAAAAACATCACCAAGGTTCAAGGTCTCCTTCACATCAAATGGGGGTTTTCTTTTTAAAATCTCTAGAATTGAGAGGGCTGCTGGCCGCCCGTATCTTTTCAATCACTCTTACAGAGGCTGCATGCAGTCCCCTTACACACAAGGAAAAGGCCCACCGATCATGTTGGCTTAACATATATATTATATATATATATATAGAATTTATTTCGTGCTGGACTCTGACTTACGTATTGTTTACTGCTTACACCTTCCTCTATTATATACCTTATTGAGTCTTTTATGTGAGTTTGTACTTTGAATCTATTAAAGCACGGTATATGACATCTTTTGTCGGCAATCTTTCTCCTTGGGCGGGGTTTTCATTGTGAATTCTGATTGTGACTGCATCTCTATAATCGGGAGCATATGTCTCAAACCTAAAATATTAAAAAATTCATGTAATCACTTCCAACAAACAAGCGATATTTAATAAATTTGCGATCTATTTTCAGCATTTTTCAACTTTTTTCAGTAAACTATCATTTTCTTTGTGAAAAAGAAAACCTAGAAGCTTAAATAAATCTTGCAATTCTGCCAATTTATATTGTGTAAATATTCAATTCTTAAGGCCTCAAATATATAATAATAAGAAAAAAATGTAATATTACCATACAAACAAATAAACTTTTAAACCCAAATTATCAGGTTTTTAATTAATAAACTGAAAATTTACACGAGGGAATCTGTTGAGAATGAAAAGTTAAAAAGACAATGCCGGAAAATGTTGTTACAAGCCAACACAATTTTCTGAGGTTGTAATTCCACCATCCACGACAAGATTATGGCCACTAACATATTAGATTCATCACTAGCAAAGATATTAAAGCAGCCTCAGCTATGTCTTTAGCCCTGAGAGTGGACCTTTTAAATTGGGCAAGCCCCTCTCACAAATTCCTCCAATCTTCTCCATTTCCTTGCAGGGCAATGAATCCCAACGCATTTCCTCTTCTTCAATCATCGCTTCTCATGCATTAACAAGCATGGATGTAAGCCACTCCGAATGGAAGAAATGCCAATTGACGTCTAATCTCATAGCGGCCTAATT